AAAATTAATTGCCAAAATCATTTTAGAAAATAATTCAGCAATTTCCAGTCAAGGAGAAAATATGTACGCTCTACAACTCAACAATTCTGTTCCTAGGTATATCCTCTAAAGCAGGGGTCCCCAAGCCCCAGGCCACACCAGTACCGGTCTGTGGTCTGTTAGGAACTGGGCCGCACAGCAGGAAGTGAGCAGCGGGCAAGTGAGTGAATCTTCATCTGTGTTTGCAGCCACTGCCCAGTGCTAGCATCACCACCTCAGCTCCACCTCAGATCATCAGGTATTAGATTCTCAAAGGAAAACCAGTCCATGGTGCCAAAAAGGTTGGGAACCTCTGCTAAAGACATGTACGTTCATGTGCACAACAATATTTACAGAAGCAGTTTGTAACAGAAAAACAAGTGGTAATAATCCAAATGTCTACCAACAGAATGGAGAATAAGTATGATATAAATGGAATACTATACTCTAGTGAAAATGAAAGTTATATATTATCAACATGGATGAACCTCACTATTAAAAAAAAAACAAAACCCAAAAATAAATACAATATTCATAAAATGTTTAAAATATCCAAAATACTACACATACTATTAAAGGTTACACTTACATGCATGAAAGTGTAAAGACCTGCAGGAGGATGATAAATACCAATTTGAGGAACATGGTTATCTATGGAGAAAGGGGGGGTGGGGGGCGCAGAGGTGGAGGGTGGCAAAACAGACTTACCTCAGGTACCGGTTAGTTACAATAGGCCTAGATCTGAGAATCCAGGTTCCCAGGAACCAGCCCTGATCTGCTGGGCAGCTCTAACAAAAACTGCGTTTGGCAGCCTAGATATGGACTCCCACCTCCCTCCTAACTGTTAACTACCTACGCTGGTTTATTTTCCTGACTCAGTAATCCTGTCCAGCACACATACTTATAAGTCAATTTAATTTTATAAACTTACGACATCCTTTGACATGTAAGACACAAAGGGATAAAATCAAGAGCAGAGAAGGGTTACTGTGCTGGTGGGACAAGGACATTGACAAACACAATACTGTTTTTATTTGTGGTACAGCAGCTGAACTTACAGTACTACCTAAGCCCTGTCATGCAGTAACTTATTAAAGCCTCACTGCAACCCAACTACATAGGAACAATTATTAATCCCATTGTACAGATGGAGAAGCAGTTTAAGTAACTTGACCGAGGTCATACATCGACTGTCAGCAATATGATAGAGTTAAACTTCTATTCCACAGTACCATCTCAGTCCTATCATAAAGAATTACAAATTCCACAAGAAAACATGGATTTTATAAATTATTTTTTAGCACACAGGCCATTACCCAAGGCCATAATTCAGATTATTTTCTGCAACTTTGTGGAACAAAAAATAAGGCAGTTAGTTCTTCTGCAGCAGCCTAATTCTTCACCCTAATCACTATATTTCTTTTTATTATTATTATTATTATTAATGCCTACAGCACCTGGTCAGACATCGGGCTTGTTCAGGGTGTCAGGGCCGCAGACCATGGTCTGTGACTCCACTGGGGCGTGAACCCAGGACCTTCTTCTGCATGTAAAGCAGACATGCTAACCGCTACATTATGGAAACACGTCCTATCATTGTTTTAAATGGTTTAAAAGCAAACAAACAAAAAAAACAGACAATGTAATTACCATTCTCTTCTGCTGATTTAAAGAAAATCCAGACCTTCCTTCATGGTGGCAGAACCAGAGAGTAAAGCTTAGAGTTTGGCATCCGGCAACCTAGAATGCCCAGGCTAGAAGTTTGCCTCCGAAAGCCCTGGCATGAAAGTGGCCTGGTCTTGGCCTTGAGAGTTTCCCATGTCTTACTAGGTGATTTCTTCAGCCAACCACACCCTGTCTGCCCCTCCTTTTCCTCATTGTCAAGTCCCAGCCTGGTGATTCCTCAGCTTTACATACCAAGAAAATGGAGGAGCAAATTCTCCTTCCTCTAATTTAGAAAAATCCAGACCACTCAATCCAATACCCTTCAACTCTCATAGGAGGTACTAGATACGACTTGTCAAATGCAATTAAAGCACTCACCAAATCCCTAACTGGTTAATACAAATAATCCCATCATGAATTACATTAGTTTCAGAATAAAACTAATCACTGATCGAAAATTGACAAATGGGGGATTTATCCAAAATTCCTGGCAGGTGAGAACTGGAATTCTGTTGATATTCAGCAGACTATGACATAAATTTATGTCTTGCATCATATGCAGCAGTAGCTATCAAATAAATAGTATTTGTACATAATACATTCTAAGATCTCTAGAGAGCCTAGCTGCCTCAATACCTGGCAAACGCCATTCATCTGGTTAGCCATTACACGTGACAGTAACAGAGGCAGCTTAGCTTCAATGAGCACATACCACATCCCCACCACCAAGCCATATGCTTTACACATATCTACCTCATTAACACCGGAGAGCCTTTTACCACTAGAGGAATCACCCAACAATATGTCCTTACTGTATGATTCCTTTATGAAAAGTTTAAAAACTGCAATTTTCGCATCTATGGTGCTAAAAGCTAACAAAGTGGTTTCCTCTGGGACAAGTGAGACAGGGTACTGCATGCAGAGGCATAGGGGATTCTAGATGCTAATGCTCTAATAATCCTTGACCTTGGGGGCTGCTAATGGTGAGTGTATGTTCACTCTGTGGTAATTCATCAAATTGAACTCTTAATATGTGTTTCCTGTATGTAAATTACAACCCAGTAAGTTTGTAAAAGAGGTACATATTGATGGAAGGATAAGGAAAGAGCAAGCACTGCCAGGAATCCTGGGTTCTGATACTGACTTCCCCAGTAAATAGCCTATGATTTGGGAGAGTCAACTTTCAGAGGCCTCGGTATTTGGGAGAGTCAACTTCCAGAGGCCTTGGTGTCTTGATTCCTTACAGAAGTGAGATTAGATGCTCTCCAATTTTCTCAGCATACCATCACTTCCCTTTCTTTTTCAGGTGCATAAAAGCGAGAAACGACCGACCGTAGGGGTAGAAAAACGACTCAAAAGCGAGTAAGTGTCTCTACCATGAGGACATCATTAAAACACAAACCATAAAGCTTTTCCAGATTCAGGATGACGCTGTTGCAACATGCTGGAACGGCCAGTTCTAAGCATCTTCCGGGGAGCAAATGATAGTTGCAGTCACTACGCACCTTCATTAACAAACTCAATATTATTACAAATTTTAGGAATAACATTTCCAAAAAGTTATGATGGGGCCAGAGCTGTCAAGGCAAGCAGGCATTCATATACTATGTTATCAGCATGACCTTGGCATAATCCAAAAGGACTGGCAGCAAGGTTAAAGGAAGGCCATTATAATACACCCCATTTACCCAAGTGTCCAGGGAAGAGGGTCTCTTGGCTAAGTTAATATTTTGGTTAGCCATCTACCCCCATATTCCAGAATAAGACTTTGCATTTCCAAAGAAACAATTAAGCCCCGTTTGGGTGGTGTGAGTGATTCAGGAGTCTTAAATGTCTTATGAGGAGTGACTCACTAAGAACAATTGTTTGGTACTGAAAAAAAAAAAAAAAACTGTTCTCAATCAATATAGAAAATTTAGAGACTAGTATTAATTTATTATACAGACCATGGACTAACAAGCAGTATGATCTCAGTAAGAAATTTTCTTCAGTGACTATAAAATGAAAAATATAAGCGGATCACCTTTCATAGTATACAAGTAAAACTAATGAAAGAGCTTGGTTTAAGGCTCAGAAACATTTCTGTAGAGTTACTAAAAACTAACATGAGGAAAAATATCTTAAATTTATTTCATCTATAAATATTTTCTTTGATTTTCCACCAACTTCTATTATCCATTTTGTTACTACTTATTAAAATCTGGATGGATGCATGATAATAAGAATGAAAGCTAGCCCCTAAATTACGTAGTTAATAAACAGAAATAAATCAAAGTTGGTCCTAAAGATCAGGTTCATTTCCCTCATCGGGCTATTATTTGAAAACAGCCAAACCTGGGATCCTCTCTACATATAAATTAAAATCTGGCTCCACAGCTATCAAATTACAGAATTTTGATAAGTAATCAACTTCATACTTTTCCCTGTACCACATGATTAAAATTAGGTTAGCATGAGAAAGCAAGAATTAGAGGGGGGAAAGGTCACAGTGACATAGGGAGGGCACAAGGGCCCCTTCTAATTCCAGGAAGGCAGTGTGGCTTGTTCCCATGAGCTACCTTCATAATCTGCAGTGGTTTTTAACAACCAGTATTATTTCAAGGCAATAAACTGGTGTAAGAATACTCCTGTGCACAACAACTTCTCCCGTACTTATGTTTTCCCCAAATGTAGGCCACTGCTAACGCCAGCCAATGACTGTGCAAGACATTTTAAAGCAGGTAAAATGAGGGCCCCACTGCAAAACCATTAGAACCACAAAACCGCCTTCAAAACGTAAGATCAAAAGTAAATAAATATGCAAAGATAAACATCGACACAGATGGTATAGTGTAGTTATGAGCTTCCTGCAACTTCTATACTCTTAAAAACTGTGGGGCAACTGAGGCCAAAGGCCAACGTGTGTCCAGTTGGATGGGGCTCCGGTCCATCTCAATCATGTGCGCCCAGCACCAGCACAACGCAGCGGCTAGAAGGCTCACCCTACAGGCCCACCGCCAAAGGTGGAAGGGCAGCCTGGCGGGGAGGCCCCGGGCGGCCCCAGCCGCGCCCGCACCAGCCGCACCGGCACCGACTCGAGCCCTGAGGGAGATGCCGCCCGCCTCGCCCACTCGCCAGGACCCCATGCCCTTAAGCGGCCGGCTGGGCGTCTTCTCCGCGGGTCTCCCAGCCAACTCCCGCAGGCGCCTGCGCAGTGCGCTCCCCTCGCCAGCCCCAAGGGGGAGCAGAAGGACGAGGCTCAGGACAGCCTGCTCCAGGACCAGTGGGCCGCGTTCTGCTGGGGACCACTTCCTCAGGTTGGGGGTCCCAGGGCTTACCCGCGCCCAGGAGGCTGGCCAGGAGGAAGACCGAATACATGGTGCCGCCTGACTCCACTGTCTGCAATGCAGAGCGTCAGCTGATCGTCTGCGAATATAAGCCTGCCCTGCCCCGAAGCCTCTCACCGCGCAGGCGCAAGCTCCGCCCCGGCCGGGCCCAACCGAGCTCCCAGCGGCCTGACTCAGCGCCGCACAGGGCGCCTGCGCGAAGGTCAGGCGGAGCTGCGGGACGAGGACAGGCGGGGTCGAGAGGGGCACCATAGTAGGAACAATGTGTGGGGGAAGGGAAGGGAGAGGTAGCCAAAATGAAAACTAATAACTGAATAAGTCAGCATTAGGGATTATCTGTATAAAGTATCGGTTAAGCCTCACATTTTTTCTATGAGTTAACATTTTTTATTAGTAGTACCATTTTTCAAATGAGAATCCATACTAAAAATGGTTAACTTTGAGTTCTCACAGTCAAAATTCAAACTCACCACCTAACCCACACTGTCTCCTGAATGTTTATAGCATTTACCTTGCTGGGGGCCAACGTGTAGCTTCATTCTGGGCCCTGATTTTCCCTCTTGATATTTACAGTCACTTCTCCACAATGACCCACAGGCAAGCTTTTCAGTCAATACAGCCCTTCGCAACGTTCCACCTCGGTTTGTCCGTAGACTTGGAGTGGAAGAAAGGGATTAAGGAGTAAACTGGAGAATGGGAAGTGCCTCAGCCACTGGAAAAGGGAACAAGAAGTGAAGCCTGAATTTGAAACCCCTGCTAAAAATCAGCCCAGGAGCGTCTACGGCCATGCCACCCTGAACGTGCAGATCTCCTCTGACCTCAGAAGTTAAGCAGGGTCGGACCTGGTTAGGACTTGGATGGGAAACCACCTAGGAAGACCAGGTGCTGTAGGCAAGGGGAGAAAAAAACCAGCCAGGGCCCTTGCTGGGGAAGGAAAAGGCCCCGCCCTGTCCAGCCTTCAATCCTAATTCTATTCCAGAATAAGAAAGACCTGGGTGGCCTACACAAAACCACTCGCCTTGTACCTGTGGCTGACCCTTCTGGTTCTGAGCAGTGGAATGATGTGACCCTGCCCCCTCTCACTTCCCCCCAATACCTACCAGCTGGAGGGAAGGATAGGAGGGAAATCTCACCTATTAGGGCAGGTTCTTAAAGGTCATTTAGTCACAGTCCATCCTTGTACCAAAGGGGAAACAGGCCTGGAGGGGGAAAAACATTTATCTAAGGTCACAACTGACTTCGGTCAAACAAACTCTGGATTCCATTCACCTTTCACAATCTGTAACCTCTCTTAGAAACAGCTCACAGAGAAGTCGCAGAGCCTTTGGCTCTCTTCCTCCACCACTCCCACACTGCAAGTCTTACTTCCCAGTGGGGAGCTGCATGGGGAAGTGTGCACCACCATGGACATTTTGAAAGAACTGAGTAAAGTTGGGACAAGATTTAGTCTAGACTGGATGCCTTACCAGTCAGTCTCAATGGCCAGAGGTAGACTGCATGTTTGCCCCATCTGCAGGCTTTCTAAATCCATGCACAAGCAAGGGGCAGACCATCCCAACAGCCAGATAAACAAAGGGGAGGTGGGGCTCTAAAACACAACCCTGTCCCTCAGCTCCTTGCTGATGCAACAGGCAAAGAATCCCTGTGTTCTATGCAGAGGTTACAAGACTCCAAGCCACTTTAGTGGAGTTACTGAGCAATCAGTGACAGAACCTGAACCAATCAGGTCAGTGTTTCTGAGGTGAATTTTTGCTGTCTTCATTTGCACAACTGGAACACAACAGTAATATGTTCCTTCATCCACTTCCTTCCCTTTAAAGACAGAATTTTAATAAAGAAGATTAAAACAGTAAGTCGCTTATTATAATTTTTTACTAAGCCAATAGATGCTTAAATCCTTTTAAAATACCTTCCTAATCATCCATACATAGAGAACAAGAGCCGTGAAGCTATTTGGGCCTTTTGATCCTATCATACCATTCCTAGTATATACCTCCTAGGGAAATAATCCAGAGCTAAGAAGTATTTTATCCAAAGTGTTCACAGAAGGGCCCTTTATAAAAGAAGAAACTGAAAAGATCTCAAATGCTAAATAATGATTGGCTAACTAAGGAAACCAGCCTGGACAAAACAATAATACTCAAAGTAGCTATGGACCATGAGGCGGAAGCAACAGGCCTGCAAGGGAAGTGGGTTCCAAGAAATATGGGCAGAACAAAGCCCTATCTTCTAATTCAAGCCCTGCCACTGACTTCCCAAAGAGGACCAAGGAGCTGGTGAGAGAGATTCAGGATCCTCTAGTCCAGGCAGGCACTGTGGAGCCACGCCCCCTGCCCTGTCTCTCACAGGAGGCTGTATTTTCAGTGAGGAAAGAGAACTGGAGATGGGAAGAGAGTCTGCTGACTTTGAGTCAACTGTCTTTGCATTATTTCACTCATCAAAATGTTCACATGTTACTTTGCACTTTTTAAAGCAAAAATTATAGGAAAATTTACAAAAGAAAAGAAAATGCCCTTCATTTCCTCCCTACTGGAAGTTCAAGTTTTCAGGGAACCAAAAAGCTCATTTTTCCTCAGAAATGTGAGCCATACTGGAGATTCCGGCAGAGTTTCTGATGGCTTCCCAGTTCTGGGTCCCAGTTCCTCATGGTGCCCCACTTCTACTGCCTGACATCTCTTGAAATACCCACCTGCCAGCTCCTTTTATTAATTCCCATGCTGGCCCAAGAGGGCTTCCATCAGTTACCGTTTCTACAACTGAAAGAGTCCTTAGCCAACACAGCTGGTACAACTGCAGCATCAGCTATGAAGACTCGGCTGTTGTGGGGCCACCAGCTTGGCCCCACAGCTCTACTCTGGCTCTCCAACAGCCACACTGGAACCTCATCCTGCCCTGGAAATCCCCCTACCCATCTCCGCTATGTCTCAAACAACGAAGTTTAGGTTCCTCTCCCTGCGGCATCTCCCTCAGCAAAACCTCCGGCCTCCAGTCTCTCCGACTGGCCTTTGCCTTTCTGCCTAGTCTGGACCCCTCAAGCAACCATTCAAATAAGCCTCAGCCCTTCCCAGGGACTCCTTTCCCATCAAACTTCAGTGACCCCACCCACCAATTCTCTGCTTCTGATTTCTTCTCTTTAATCTCCACCTGCCGTGGGCTGCTAGAGAAATCAACCATCTCAGCCAGGCTCCCCAAGTCCTCTGTGGTACTCAGCACTTATTTAGCCCTCCCATGTGGCAGCGTCTGCTATTGTCTCCTAATATCCTTCACCTCTTTTTCCTTGATTTTGATGGTAATCAAATCCCCTATTTCTGACTGGGTACATGGCCACCCAGAATAAAGACTACATTTCTCAACCTCCCTTGCAGCCACAGGACTTCATTCTGGCCAACGAGATAAAAGAACAAGTGCCTATTTTGTGATTTAGGTACTGTTTTTAAAAGGAAGAGACATATCCAGTGCAACTATTTTGCAACTGGCCATAGTGCTGGAGGAATGTCCTGGAAGTTCCCACTGACCCAGGTTGTTGCCTTGAAGGGGCAGGTGGTCCCAGGAAATGAGCAAACAGGCAGATGGGCATCAGAGGGTCAGCAGCTATTTATCAGCTGGTATAGAAGTAGTTTAATTATTTCACTACTGATACAACTCTACTGACCTGTGCCAGCTAAGTGTCAGCCCTGACTACAAACTCCTTTCTTCTTTATGCTGCTTGGGTTGCAGATATAATGGCAGGAGCTGGAGCATCCATCCTGGACCATGAGGTAGAAGCCTTGTTAAGGATGACAGCAAAACAAGATAAGAGCCTGGATCCCTGATGATTATATCTGCCCTAGACTATCCAACTACAGACTTTATGTGAACACACCCAAATCTTATTCAAGCTTTCATTATCTTGAGTTTTTGTTACATTCAAGATCTTCTCAAGGATGCTCAAGTCCCTACATCATCTTTATCTAAATCACGCTCATTTCTTATTTTACCTCTCCCCTTCTGTCTCTGAAGAGGGAATGCCTTTTCTTCTCTTTGTGAGGCTAAACTTTAGCTGCTAAACCCTTCTCTGCTTTTGCTAATTAGCACCTGTGACCTCTAGGACAGAACTAATGTTCTGCACATTCTTTTTGTTCATTGTCTATGCCTTACTAATTGTTAAAGATTTTTAATATCATTGCTTTAGCACTTTGCACCATCACTTGTCCTTTCCATTTTTTATCTTCAGTCTCCCACCCTTGCCACTGACTCTTCCCCCTCAGACTAGAAATATATGAAAGCTCTCCCATCCTAAAAGAAAGCTTTTCTCACCCTGGGCTTTTGCTTAAACAACTGAGCTTTCTCCAACCTTCCCTTCCCTGTCACACTCCTTGAAACAGTCACCTTTACTCACTGTATCTACTACTCTCCCTCCAGACTAATTCTAACCCAGCCCATCACTCCACTGAAAGACTTTTTGAAAGTAGATTGTAAATTCCTACATAGAAAGCCTACCAATACCTTCCCTACAATGCCGCTCCCCACCCCCATCAACTTGACATCAGTGACACAGCACCACTCTGCACGATGTTAGATGTGCAGCACATAAGCCCTTATGCCCACTTCCTGACCCATGGCAGACATAACTATTAGAACTTGACCGTGAAACCTTTTCAACTCAGTACAGGCTGACCTCTGCAATATCGAAGTTTCTGTTCCAGACCACCATAATAAAGCCAGTATCACAACAAAGCAAATCAAAATCTTTTTCCTGGTGGAGGGTCTTGCCTTCAGTTTGTAAAAAAAAAAGAAACGCAACACCTGTCAAACACAATAAAGAGACGCACAGTAGAACAAGCACACCAGCTGCTTTTACCAACCAATCAAAGTTAGCTACTGATCAGCTCTTTTACCACCCTTCTTAGCTGGGGTTCCCTGGGGGAAAACTCTGAGGCTGAGATGTGTGGGCAGTTTATTGGGGCATGCTCTCAGGATCATACCTATGAGGCAAGTAAGGGCAGCAAAATAGGGCAGAGGGGTAAAATAAATTGCAGAGAAGTTGCAACAGGTGCCTCACCCCCCTGCAGAATAGTCCTCAACTGAGGCCAGGGGAATGACCTTTATACCTCAACGTAATACTGCCCCAGAGGAGGGCTGTAACTTTGTGGGCCAGGGGCTCCTTTTTGCTAAGGCAGTTCCTGAAGAGGGGCTGTTATG